AGAGTGGGCCTCTGTGAGGACGCGAGAGGGTGAGAGTGGGCTTATGTGAGGATTGTGAGAGGGTGAGAGTGGGCTTATGTGAGGATTGTGAGAGGGTGAGAGTGGGCTTATGTGAGGATTGTGAGAGGGTGATGCCACGCTGCACTGTTGTGTGGGACAATATATGCTTTCCCTCCTCGTGGATACTAGGGCTGCAGTGTCCCTGTTGGATCTAGCTACCATACAGCAGTTTCTTCCCTTCGTGCCACTTTCTAAGGCCACTCCTGCTTCATGTGGCTTTGGCAGTTCCAAAACTGATATGGTAGGTTCCATCTGGCTGTCAATCTAAACTAGTTCCACTTTCGGTGTCGACTTTCGGTGTCAGCAATCAAAAAGAAAAGAGGTTGAGATCTTGCCCTGATGGCCTGTCTGGAAGAGGAATGAATTTTAGCCAGTGTTTTATGTTGTAATGTAAAGAAAACATGATCGTGACAAGTGGTGTAGAAAATGTAAATATACATCTAATATCCTGCCATTTGGGTCAGGATGACCTAATGTGACAATAGGAAAGCAGGAAAGCAGCCTGTAGAAAGAAGGAACTGAAAAAGATATTTTAATGCTGTAAAATAATATTAAGGATGCAATGAGTGTTTTAAAGATGTAATCCAGCTGCATCAGCTGTGTGGAATGTGTCCAAGTAATGTAATGGAAAGGCATTTATGTAATGAAGACATTTATATGAATAAATAAGCAGTTAATTTGGCAACATTGTGTGATTTGAAGTGGGATATTTTAAAGACAAATTATGTGTGGCATGAGACCATGAAGGTTGAGGAAGTTGTTTGTGCAAAAGGAGATCAGCAGAAGTGCATAAATGGACCCCACTTATGGGCACCCAACTTCCACACACAACTCACACCATGGTGCCAACATACTAGGCCTCGATCATTTCACCACCTATGGATTCTCCCTACTGGATATTACTGGATCTGCCATTTTAACTGTCGGCCATTGAGTTTGAGGGATTCCACGTCAAGGCTAAGGGCTTCACCCCACCTCTGCCTATTACTGACGCCGTTCAGCGTATTCCTGAACCCACAAACGCAGCCCAGTTTGCCTCTTTCCTTGGCATGACAGCCTGCTACCTGCATTTTTGCCTCACCACTCCACTACCACAGTTCTGCTGCATCAACTACTGCAGAAATATGCACGTTGGACTTGGACGTCCGCCTGCTCTTAGACTCCCAACTCACATTGCCTCCTACCCTGGCACATTTCTCCCTCTCATGCCCCACCTCTGTCACTCGTGATGCCTCAGCTATGGCAGCTGGGGCTGCACTGTCACAGCTGCAGGATGGAGTGGAATGACCCATTGCCTTTGACTCCTGTGCTCTGAATCCCACCAAACAAAAATATTCTGTGGGTAAGCAGGAAGCTCTGGCTTACGTCTGGGCCTGTGAGCAATGGTACATGTAACTCTATGGGAGAGCATTCATGCTGCACAATGACCACAATGCACTGACGGCTTTGCTTGCAACAACTGGTACAGGGTGCAAGCAGCTCAGCATTTCACCTTTTGTTTCACCCTGGGTGATGATAACATCGTGTCAGATCTACTGCTCTGCTCCACCCAGTATCCTGCAGAGCCTCATTCTGTCTCTCAGCAGCCAGACCTCATCCAGATGTTGCACAAACCACTGAAGGCAGCTGTCTCCATTGATAAATTCTGGCTAACCTCAGAACAGGACTCAGCCCTTTTCCCAGCTTCACATATACATCCACGCAGGGTGGCTTGTTAAAGTCTCTGCAGAGTTGACCCTTTACCACAGGGTCAGGAATGAACTCCTATGTTGAAGTTACCATTGCGTGGAGCTGTCACACCAGTGCTAAGAAGCCTTCAGGCATGTGTTCTCAGCTTGGTGCATGAAGGTCAGATCAGCATTGTAAGGACCTAGTCTGGGGGCCTGGGATTGACAGGGACAAAAATCTAATGAGGGATTGTGCAATCTAGTGGGCTGCCTTGTGAGTAGGAAAATGGGTCCACATGCAGCACCCCCTCTGCAGCCTCTGGATTGGCCTACTCCTGGGAGCAACTCCAACTAGACAACTGTGGGGAACTACATCGAATCCCACACTACCAGCAGGTCCTCCTTGTTGTGTTTGATCTCCACCCCAAGTGGCCTGAGGTGGTCTCCACAGGGTGTGTCACGGCATTTTTAGACATGCTCTTTGCTTGATGGGGACTTCTCTGGCTTTCTGATGGAACTTGATGGCATGTTAGCCACCTCCGTAAGGTGGCAATGCCAACATTGCCTAGCATACATGTTCACGCTGGTTCCCCTTCATCAGCAGATGATTGGGACTTCCCTATGGAGCCAATGGAACCAGACGCACAATGATTTTAACCCAAAATTAGCCCCCTCAAAACCCAGCCACACATTCAGTTGAGTCCACAATGAAGACTCATTGAAGGTTATCTGAGGGATTTTGTGACTGGTTTCTGATATGCTGACTTTGCACTAAGTACCCTGTGTAGTTCCTTTAATGCTCTGGGCATGATCATTATTATTGTGCTCACCCATATTAAAATTGTGTTAATATTAGTTGATTAGTTGATACAGTGTAGGGCATCTCAAACCACTGGGCGACTCCAGTTTGTTGGATTTGTCATGTTTGATTTTGTTTAGTTGGAGAGGGGGAGTAAATATTATGTACATGCCAGCTATGACAAGGTCACTGACCCTGATGATAACGCGTCATGCTTTCGTGCCTTAAAGAGACAGTGCCTGAGTGCCTGATAACGTAGAGGGAGTTTTGAAAAGAAAATGTGACTTTGGTTTCTAGCAGGTCTAGTGTCTTTCCCTAAAACACTACAGGTTGGCTTATGTAAGGCTGCGAGTGAGAGGTTGGGGGTGGGCTTATACTGTATAAGGATTGTGAGAGGATGACGGTGGGCTTAGTTAGGGTTGTGAGAGGGTGGGAGTGGGATTATGTGAGGGTCAAGGTGTGTAAAGGGTGACCGCTGGTGTCTACACATACAGTACTGTGCAGACAAACAAGCATATTTAAATGACGTAAAATGTAGTAAAATTTATCTAGTTCATGGAATGGCTGTGGTGGCCCTGAGAAGAGGCTTGGGAACTGAAGCAGTGTTTTTCTATCCATCCAACAAGATATTGGTAACTTTTGGAAGAACAGAATAAATTATTGTTCTTCTTTATTGTATTATATTCATATGAATATATTCTGTTAAAGTTTGTTTTTTTTCTGAGCAAATATACAGTTACTAGTCAGGTAAATGGTTTAAAGCATTTACTCTGACCTTGACTTTGCACAGTATTGTTGAACACGTGAATATTACCTCCACACTGGGCTGTGATGCTACCTCAGCTGGGGGAGCTGCTGGCAGACTGTTGTTATTCTGCAAATCCAGTGCCTGGTTGGCATTCATTGCAGTGGTGCTGCACTGTATTGCACTGGCTAGGTTCAGGTTCAGCTTTGGTCCAGCTGGAGATAGAACTTCAGGCCACAAGCTGGGGTCTGGATCGGGAGGTTGTGATCCAGCTAAGATCTGAAAATGCAAACCCGATTATAAGGGCTACATTTGCATCACTGTTCATTGTCAACATTGAATATCATTAGTGGTCTTCCATTCATCATTATGTGTCCATTATCCATTTGTCAGTTTATCTCTGCCTTTCATAATTAATATTTCATTCAACTATTCCTCGCCAATTCATCACTCATCATCTTAATGTTGTTAGAGATACAGCGGGGAAGAGCTCACCTGCTCAGAAGGCTCTGGAATAAAAACGACATGCTCAGGCTGAGTGGGGGCTGTTGTGTTAAGTATCTGAGGACAGGCTGGCATACTGGTGGAGCCCATGGTGAGACCTGCTGTGTTTGGGATCTGCTGTGGAGCAGCAGATAGCTGCTGTGTGGGCATGAAGGTTGGGGTTGACTGGACAGGTATGGATGCTGAAAGATGCATGACCGATTCCACCATGTGGAAGTCCTTAGAGACTATGGGGGCGGGTGGGGCCATACTGCTGGGGACACTGTGATGCAGAGAAGTAGGAGGACCAGGGAACTGTTCACCTCCAGCAAGAATGCCCTCTGCTGGAACAAGGCATGATGGAGGAATCTGGAAATTCAAGAATGGGAAAATTACAAGTAAGCCACACACATTGGTCTGAAGAATCTCCTCAGACTCCAGATACTGTCCAGCTGAGTCTTAACAGCAGCCCACTTTACTCTGGAATAAGACACGCACAGGCCTATGGGACCAGTTCTTCAGAAGCCATATGCCAATCTTCCTAAGTCATCTTGTTCATCATGCATCTTCTTCATCAACAACCTCAGAGATTGATGGTGGCACAGCAGGTAGCAGTACAGCTTTACATCTCAAACACTGGGGGTCTGAATCCACACTGTGCATGGGGGGGAGGGATTGTGCATCATGTATAAATTTCATTGTGTAGCCATGTGATAATGTCATTTTGACCATGGGGGAACATTTTTTTATGTCCCCACAAGGTGAAACTCCTTTTTATTAACATCTGAGACAGCAATATAAAAAACTAAAAATGCCAAAAGTCTTGTATTTCGTTTCGGTACTTATGGTCAAGTTTAGGGCTGGGTAGGGGTTAAGGTTGTCATTGATGGGATTAGGACTTTTACCATAGAAATGAATGCAGAGTTCCCACAAAGATATGAGTACAGGTGTGTGTGTGTGTGTGTGTGTACTTTCCCCCATGTCATGTACAGTTCCTCTGGTTACTCCAGTTTCCACGCACGGTCCACAGAGAGGCTAAGTGGCATCATGTCCCTGTGCTGCCTGGGATAAGCTCCAAGCCCTGCAGTGACCCTGTCTGGATCAGTGGTTGGAAGATGGATGGACAATCAGAAGTGAGCACGGTGACTCAGCAGATAGGCTTGTCACCTTACACCCATAGGGATTTGCATCCAGCCCCAGTTCAGTGTGAGACAAATGTGCAGGGTTATATGTTCTGGTTTCCTCCAACAACACAAATGCACTTTATTCAAATCAACTATGACCTTGTGTGTTTGTGCAACCTGCAACGGATTACACCCCATCCAGATCCACTTCCAATACTCAGTGAAACAGGCTTCCACACTGCTTGACCAGTAACTAAAATTGCTTAGATGTGACATTTTGAATGTGATACACTTAGCAAGGTCAGAAATCGCAAGTGGAACCTGTGAAGTGAAGAGGCTGTCCTTCGGACACTGGGGTATCAAGGTCTTGACCAACCAAAATCAGACAGACAGACTGAGGAATGATGATATCATGGACTAAAGAGAGTTCAAAGTTTAAAAGTGGGGGTAGTATTGTAGTTCATAATTATCCACTTGAGCCAATCACAAATAATTTAATTACAAGTAATAAAAGAGTGACAAAACAAAATCCATATACACTTCCTATGGTTTGATTGCATCCAAGCCACTAACATCAGAATGATGGCTTGTGTTACTGAACATTTTCGATTTCGAAACATACCTGAATTTCTGCAATAATTTTATCTGCTATATTTTAGAACCTGAATGCTTCTCTAAATGACTGTGGAGAAATGCCATACATCCATCCAGCCAAAGAAGAAGAAATATTAGGCTTTTACTTCCTTTATATCAACATTTCTCAAGTTAATTTTATTTAATTTTATTTTCGATATAGCGCCAGATCACTACAGAAGTCATTTAAGGTTACATTTCCTATAGAACAGGTCCTTTTATCGTCCTCATTTGCAACTACATTCCGAATCGTACGCTTCAATCGCAAGATGCAGGTCTTCTATTCATATTGAGAATAAAGAACGTTACTTTCGGGGGAAGAGCATTTGCTCATAAAGCACCACAGTTATGGAATAAACTTCGTACTTGTGTTCGGAACTCAGACACAATCTCCGCTTTTAAGTCAAGGCTTAAGACGTACCTCTTTAGTCAGTCTTTTGGATAGTAAAAGCCCTTTTTCTAAGGTGAATGGGAAATCTGGAGGTGCATGGTCATTTGAGATTAAAGGGTGCTGTCGTCCCACCACTCTTGCCGCTGACTTAAGCTGTTGATGGTAGTTTGGCTTGACGCCAAAATCCCTGGAAACCCTCATGTCTGTGCTTCCTTCCGGGTCTCTCTTTTAGCCAGGCTGCCATAGTTACTTTAGTACTGCCGGAGGTTAGGTTAGGTGTAGGGCAATAACTCTTCTCCATCTTCTCTTTTAGCCAGGCTGCCATAGTTACTTTAGAGCTGCTGGAGGTTAGGTTAGGTGTAGGGCAATAACTCTTCTCCATCTTCTGTTTTAGCCAGGCTGCTATAGTTACTTTAGTACTGCCGGAGGTTAGGTTAGGTGTAGGGCAATAACTCTTCTCCATCTTCTCTTTTCCGAGCTGATCCCGAGCCAACACTACACCGCTTGAACCCTCACCTGGACTCCTTGGAGATAATTACATGAAACCAACTGGGACTTTTAAAATGATATGGACTGAAATTAATGTTAATGTAAATGCAGTTTCATGCTCCCCAGTCGCCCAGAGGAGGATGGGGTCCCCTTCCGAGTCTAGGTTCCTCTCAAGGTTTCTTCCTGCTAGAGGAAGTTTTTCCTTGCCACTGTCACCTCAGGCTTGCTTGGTGTGGTTCTAGACAGTTAAATGTAAAGTGCTTTGTGACAATGACTGTTGTTAAAAGCGCTATATAAATAAAATTTTATTGAATTGAACTGAATTATTAAACAAACTAAATAGCCTTATGTTACTTATCTTATTTACAAAACAGCATGTTTGTGTCTACACGGTCGCGCGTTTACAATTCTCCTCTGCTCTCTGTATCGCGCACGGCGGAGTTCCGCCCCACAGATACGTGCGCGCACACACAGGTGAGCACACTCCGACCAGCGGACAGAGAGCGCGCCTTGGAAAATATGTTGCATCAGCCACCTGAAAAGCAGACAATAAATCAATAAATGGGCCAGACGTTTCTGACTTCCCATATCAAGAGGCTCTAGAAATGTTCTTCTCCCCCCTCCCCCCCCAAAGCTGTAAACCTAGGGGCAACACTGCAGCTACACCTCACCTGCAGGTTTGGTGGCAGGGCATGGTGCACCGTGGGTGCTGCAGGTGGAACAGACACTCGGGTCTGTTGATAGACCTGGCTGGGATCCTCTGTGGAGAGCACTGATGTAGCCAGTTCTGGAGTCAACATTGTGCCGGGCTGGAATGCAAAAGGGGTGATTTCTTAAAAATAAAAAGCATTTTTACATTACTGTTATTCTCCATAGCAATTAGGGCCCAACAGTTGAACACTCTGCTAACCATGACATGGCCACAGATCCCTTACCCCCCAAGAAATGCCAAAACAATAAGAGACTAAAGAAGTGCAGTAGCAATTTAGGGGTTTCTAGGTTTTCAGTCGGTTCACTGCTTACACTTGTAGTCTACAGGTAAATTCTCAATAAATGCACTTTCTAAAGAGTTTCTAAACTTACTGGGGGTTTTTGAGGGTTCTACTGCCTAACTATCTGTCAAATGGTCAAAAAATACGAGACAAAGAGTGGCATAATACAGAAAGTAGAAAGTATCACAACTCACAACAGGATTCTGCTGATAGGGCCCCAACTGGGACGAAGGTGACTGGTAGGGCCCTTGGTTCACTATACTGGGAGGGTGCTGATATGGACCCTGGCAAAGCTGAGTTGAGGGAGATTGCTGGGACCCCTGGAGTGTCTGGTATGTAGCCTGATATTGAACGTGATGTAGCTGGGCTGTCTGCAGTGTCTGGAAGGTCCCCTGGGGTATCTGAGCTGGGAGTGTGTGGTAGGATTCCTGGAAAAGCTGGGTCGACAGCGGCTGATAGAGATTTTGTTGCATCCGGGTTGGGAGCTGCTGCCGGAGCTCAGAGGCTAAAGGGATACAGACTGATGAGACAGAAGGAAAAAGAGTCTCCTGTTGGGACAGACAGGGTACGTTCTGAGCAGAACGGGCATCCGGCTGCATGAAAGTGAAACTGTACTGACCAGAGTTGGCATCTGGTTGCATCATGTTAAAACTGTGCTGACCAGTGTTGGTATCTGGCTGAATCATGCTGATGCCATGTTGACTGGCGATGGCATCTGGCTGCATGTTGTTGAAGCCATTTTGACTAGCGCTTGCATCTGGTTGTATTGTGTCGAAGACATGTTGAACAGGTTTGGCACCTGGTTGTATTGTGTTGTAGACATGTTGACTAGCGTTGGCATCTGGCTGTACTGTACTGAAGCTGTGCTGACCAGCACTGGCATCTGGTTGTATTGTGTTGATGCTCTGTAGCACAACGCTGGCATCTGGCTGCACTGTGTTGAAAACGTGTTGACAGGTATTGGGGTCTGGCTGTATCACGTTGAAGCTGTGCTGTCCGGCATTCACGTCTGTCTGCACAGTAAAGCCAAGGCATTCGTCCATGGCACTGTCTGAGGGGGCTGGGGAAACAGGAAGAGAGGAAGTGAGATGTAATGTGCAACATACAAAACAGTTAGACAGACACACCTGTCCCACCTCAACAAGAGACATTTAATAAAAGACATCCCAAATAAAAACCATATATAAATATGTATGTGTGTATGGTAACGTTGTACTCACAAGTAATGTAGGGTATGCCAGCTGGTTGATCAGCCGTTGGTTCTTGGGGGTCAGGCACAGTAGGGGGGCTTGTCTCCCAAGGGACCTTGCGGCAGGGCATACTGCCTCCATCCTTCTGCTTATCCCCCTCTTCTGCAGACATTGCACGCTCCCGCCTCCACCGGATTAGAGACACCCGGTCGCGGATCGACTTACCCACAGCCTTGACGTCACTCTCTTGGAAGAGGCCAGACTCCACCTGCCAAGAAAACACCTTTGCTAAGCAATGCAGCGGAAAGTACAACAAAATGAAAAAACTTACATCAGGCCCAAACAGTGGTTGAGAAGAAACTGGATGAATATGTAGGAAATCTGGTGGTTTGCATTAAAGGACACTTTGATCTTTCTGTTCTCATTTAGTACTCTGACAAATTGCCGCAAAAACACAGACACAAGCAGACGAACATACACTGCTATTAAACCAAGAACAGATTATGACTGGACAACTGCAGGCTGGCTGGATCAAGACACATCATTTTACAGAACAAACAGGGTACGCTCTGAACAACAGAGACCAACAGCATACTTTTCCACACAATATAAAAAATAAAAATTGCCCAGTTTCTTGTTATAATGAGATAAGCATCTCATTATGATGTAATGAGATAATGAGATAAGCGTCTCATTATAATGAGAAAAACACTTCATGGAGGCTCAGTGGTACATAGATTAGAATGACCATGATTAGATTAGATTAGATTACATAATTTATTGTCAGTGTGCTGAGTACAGGTGTAGAGCCAGTGAAACGCAGTTAACATCTAACGAGGTCAAATTAAACATATATACAGAAATAAAATAAATCATACTAAATTATCTGTAAAATACACATTAAGCAGTATGATAAGATGCCATATCGTAAATGCAAACTGGAAATACACAATGTGCAAAATGAATAGTTGGTGCAAACAAATGAACAGATAGTGCAAACAAAAACAGTGTTCAGTCGAGGAAACAAGTTATGTGTGGAGGGGGGTGAGGTGGAGAATCAACACCGAAAGGTACCACTGAGCACATTGAGGGTGTTGGGGAAGAAGCTGTTCCTTAGCCTAACCCCTAAACTTCAGGTTACAATTGGGTGAAATTTTGTGTGGCTACTTCTTGGACATAGAAGATTATACTCAGGTTTGAATGGGAGACACATTATTCCTTATTATAAAGATCTGAGCAAATAAATTTACTACTGTAAAAGTATTTGCACACAGGCAAACATGGCTGCGACTAACGATTATTTTGATAATAGATTAATCTGTCGATTATTTTTCCAATTAATCGATTATTAATGGGTGGGGGTTTTAATAATCCAGACTTTGTCTTTGTACAAAGGTTGTTTCCAGCAACTCACATAAATCAATAAATGTATGCTACATTATGAGTATAAAAAAATAATTTTGTAGCAGCTGAATCAATGTCATGAAAAACACAATCTTTTTTTTATAAAATATTATTACATAATTCTCTAATGTTATTTAATGTTGATACACATAACACGTATGTAACGGAGAGAAAGCACGCGAGCGAGTGTGTCTGCATTTATTACGGACAAACAAAGTAAACATTTATTGCGGAGAAAAAGCCTTTTCTGCATTTTACGCTAAAAATGCGCCGCCTTGCGCTCTCATGAAACCCCATAGACTTTAGTGACTGAACGGCGCAAATAAGACGATTGGAGTAAACACTTTGTAGTATATGTAGCCACATTTGATAATAGCCGATTGTGTTGACATCTTTCCCAGACAACCACGACTTCACATGTGTTCATGTGCACATACACTCACCTAAAGGATTATTAGGAACACCATACTAATACGGTGTTTGACCCCCTTTTGCCTT